ATGGGTGGTAACCCATCAACATGAAAGATTGCGACTGACCAGATGCTTCTGTATTCCTCCGTCTTTTCTCTTCGGCTATTGGAGCGCGATCGAATTCTGTCTGGGTTGAATTCGGTTCAACTATTGATACTGACGTTGACGCAGATTCAGACGCAGACGCAGGGATAGATGAATGATCGGGGCTCTCAGAGGGATGTATATCCCGGATTGTAAGAGAAGGTCCGCCGTGAGGCTGCGATGACGAGCTCGCTGTTGAAGAATTACCCTGCGTCTGTTTGAACTGATCCGGGTCTGTCTGGTGGTCTTGATATTGGGGCAGCAAAAGGTGCCAGGAAAAGTCAGGAGATGAAAACGGCAGTTCCACGTCTCCGTGAAGGAAGAACGGGTCGGTAAACGCAGAAGATGATAGACAGCCTCCTTCAACTATTGAGGCCCGGGTGTCATTAGGAATCGCTTGAGATAGTTCGTGAGCGGACATTCCCGCTCCAGTAGTCAACTGTGCAAGGAAGGCGGCGTCATCAGGCTGAGCATCTATTCGACATGGATGAATAGATATATCAGACAATTGCTGAATGCAATGGCACACACCTATGGTGTGATTTTCTCTTGTCACCCGTGTGTTCAATGCCGATAATGAATGAGCTCGTCGCTTTCTGGGCGGTGAAGCATTGTGTGATCCACTCGACGAATCATTGCACATATCAAGTGAGAGCAGAAATTGTTCAAAGAGGAATGACTCTGCCGCAGGAATCGTAGAGAAACTAGGAGGAGATAAGGGCGTCGACTCTTGTCTGTCAAGAAGACGCATATCAACGGGAATACTTAGATTGTGTGTCAAAATAGCTATATCCTGGGAGAACTAGGTATAGAAGAGTCCTGACATCGGTAATACCGAAATTCGCCATCTACTCTCAGAATTGCGACAAACAAGTCCAGATATACGCCACTTCTTTATTTTGATCACTTCCATTTTCCCCGTCCAGAAAAGCACGAAATTCAACGAGGCTGGCTCTACAGACCATTGAGAATTCCTTTCAACTGCTCAATTTCAGACAGATATTGAATCCAGAATCTAAGCTTCTATTATTAGTTAGAGTTAGAGAGGACAACTCCGACAATCGACAAATCCATCCGAGTCAGCAGTCTTTTATCTCCCAATCGACATGATACCCATCAACCACGCGACTCGGCCTGCGACTATAAGGGTTTCAATGAAGTCGCATGCCTCCTTATTTGCACTGCATTTGTAGTCAAGTGGTGAAGTTCACGTGTACGCCGAGTCTTTGGCTCTTTCTCGATCACGTGATGCTGACTCAGCATTACGCGTCCGCGTTCTCGAAATATCTTGAATTATCTCCATCTCATCGTCACAATGGTGAGCCATTCAACTCGATGCGTTGGCACAAGTGCTCATGAGTATGAAAGCTGATCCGGGTAAGATCAAAGGATGGGAACTTCAGGTTCGATCTGCAGCCTACCGCTGACATATCCGAATTGTTCGCCAAGGTATCTCATCTCCTTCCAAGGCTTTGTCTAAGGAGCTGAAACGTTCTGCACATAGATTATTGAGACCACGTCGGATGCTGATCTCTCAAGTTTCACTATATCAAACCAACCGCGTGGAAATGAAGTAAAGTTCTCGGAATTGAAAGGTAGAACCGTAAAGAATCTTGGACTCAAGTGAGCTCGATCATGCTTATTTTGTGTTTGCGCCGTTGATAAACTCTCCAGCCACGGAGATCTTGTTTTCGTGGGATATCAATCTAGACCGTCGTCCTCAGTAGTCAATGATAAAGGCCCAGGAACACAACAAGACTCAACGGGCGACGCCACGAAGCGGCCATGGGAACTTGTAACCGAAGATTCCGTTGATAGCTACTGGCGTGGTCAGACCGGAATGTTACCCCGTGGACGCGATGCACAATTCTGCTGGGAAGACGAAACGCGTATACGAGAGCTGGCTAAATCCGCTTCAACTCCCTTGACTATTGTGGGCTACATTTTCACCGATCTTGATCCAACACCGGAAGATCGGTCTAAGAATGTGTACAAGCGACACCCAGGATCATTTTATCTTTCGTCATTGGAGGCCATCTTCGCCGCAACTGTGCAAAAAGCCAACCCTACTCCGTCGCGGTCATCTTCCACAGGACAGTTTGCCTCTCGACTAGTTACTGCTGTTTTAACTGCAACCGAAGATGGCCATGTTGATGTCTCTGCCTATCAGGTATCCGAGCAAGCTGTCGCCATGGTAGAGGCGGATATGATTGAGGCCAGCGTAGAGCCAGGTATTGTCCGTGTGAAAGAAGAAGATCGAAGTCAGGAGACGGCGCGATATGTTCCTGACGTGTTTTTCACTTATAAGAATGAGTATGGACTTGAGGTCAAAAAGAGCGCGAAACCTTGTTTCCCCGTAGAATATCTCATGGTCAACGTACGTCGCCACCCTCGTTCCTTGTCCCTGACTCTTATTTATTCCGCACCCATAGGTCACCCACGGCTTTCCCCAAAACCCGTCCCCCATATTCAAATCTACTCGGTTCAAAATCGAGAATCGTCCTGGTCTCGAAGACCAGAGTGTCGAACAGGTCCTTTCTACTCTTCTAAGCCTCGACGCGCCCGATATTCTCGAAAGCCGATTTGCTAAACCGGGCGAATTTTACAAGAAGAAAGAACTGGCGACCTACTTAAGCGACTGGCATCTGGTAGCCTTCCTTGGTTCAAGCCAGCTATTCTCACCGGTATGTGTATTTTATCGATGATATCAGCGAATTCAGTGACTCAGAGAGCTTTGTCTACAGGAGGACATGAAGGTGCTGATACAGGCTGTGTCACGGCAGGATCTTCTAGAGGAACCGTCTGCGCTCGATCTCCTTTTCGCTACAGATGGATGGCAAACGCTCATGACTTTTACACGGGAAAGTGCTCGTACGTTGCCATGACCCTTCGCTCTAGTCTTATGTTGACTTGCCTTCTATAGCAGCGCGTCCGCCGTCTTCTGCACCGATACGTTCGTCATCCCATATGGACGAAGACATACCACAAGAGGTGTTCGACCAGATCGCGGCCGAAGAGGCTGCCCATGGAGATGCAGCCGGTTCTTCTCTCAGAGTCTGCCCACATTTCATCTCCTGTGTAGTATGTATGGAACCGTTTATGCAGCATGCGTAACTGTCTCAACATGAGTGAGGGTCGCATAAGAGAAAAACTGTAGGGGGAAAAGAATGAAAGATGTACCTGGCAAAAGAAAAAGAAAAAGATGAAAGTAAAGCCGTGAATAAAAACAGTGTCTGTTGGCTGACTCGCGCTGGTGCGACTGGTTGATATGAAACACGAAGTTTGCACGAAACTAAGACGACAAATGCAATCTGACCAAGCGGATCTACCGACTGAATAACCACCAGAGTGCGAAACCAACACCGCACAAAATGCCGAGTGCGCGTGCGACGATCACAACGACTAGAGCTTTGCGAATGGCGGCGTAAAAATTACTGAGGGCCGAGCCAGACCAGTTGATTCTAAAGCAAGTTAGACTTTCTATTTTAATCACTCAACGAATGTCATACCGCCTGTCGTTTGTTCCTCCTGACCGAACACTGGCTTCCCAACCATGCACGACCGCCCGATACCGCTTGCCGAAAACCCTACAGCAGAAACCGATGAAAAGAGGGTCGAACGTACAAGGAAAGACCTACCAAATCCAGAAGTTGACGTCGGGGTAGGAGAAACGGGGGAAGACGCTTGCGAGGCTTGGAGCAACGATATCCACGCGGAAAGTCTCGAATTCTGCCGGGTAAGGGAGTTGCATTGATCCCAATAACGGAGAGGATACTGTCGTATTGGAATCTTCACTGAGCCGTGGAGTCGGGGAGGGAAAGACCATATACGACATCAGATCAAGCGTCATGCCGAGAGATAGACCCCATAGTTTGAGACTCTGAGGCCGAGACGAAACGCCTTTTTCGAGGGTGCTTTGAGACTTTGTGTCGGCGAGAGGGGTGGAGGAACTAGTGTCAAGGACGATCGCGGGAAACTCCATTGTACCAATCAACAATCGAATGAGGAGTCGCAGAGCAGTGTTGTGTTTAGGTGCAAGACGAGAAGCAGCGTCGACAGTGACTGTGGACCAACGAGGCGGAGTAGAGGGCGAGACAAGAGATGTAAGGGGCGTCCAATGCAGAGATGTGGAGTCAATGGGATCTGGTGGAGGAGCATTGGGAGTAACTTGGAGGAATACAAAAGGCGAAAGGATCATGAGAAGACGTTTTCCAAGAGATGTGGTGATTTCGCGGTCGTCGAGCTGACCGATGCAAGTGTACTGGCGCTCAGCGAGGTCGATGCCTATCTCCTCCCATGTCTGACGCATGGCTGCTCCGCGAATCAGTAGGAAAGAACGGGCAGAGCGACTAATTCCGCACCAGTGTAGAGTCCACCCTCGTCGTCGGGCTCAGTCCTTCCGCCGGGAAACGCGACATGGGATTCCTGGGTGCTACGAGTACGTGATTGGGCTAGTGATACCTCGTCTGCAGATGCATTGTGGCGATGAAGGAAGAGTATCTCGGGCCGTGCATTGGGGTCGTTGACCCAGTCTTGTTCAAAGAATTCAGAGAGAGTAGGCGGTGTTGCAGGAGAAGGAGGTGCAGGGGAAGAATGTGACGGAACAACACGGATGATAAGGGCGACAGAAGCTCTTCGAGGCTCTAGATAAGGACGTCAGGAAGGGCATGGACTGAGGAGGCGATACGGACGAGTCGGGGGAGAGGCGATGACTCTGGGCGGAGTCGATCGGATGCGGTGGAGTGCCTTGGAAAGCAGCGGGATGATTGACGCAGGCTTCTCTGTGGCGCAAGTCAGAAACGATAGCCAATTTAGCAGGAAACGGACCTTGCGCCATCGTAGTTGCACGCGCGAGCATCTGCGCCCCAAACTTTTGTACTGACGTAGCTTCGGCCGTTTCCGGATCCCCAGAACACAGACGCCCATGCCCAAAAAAGTATCCGAGGCACTGCCAGGGTTCGAACCTGGGTTACGGGAATCTTCATTTCAAAACCCCGAGTGATGACCACTACACTACAGCGCCACATAGACGGCTTCTACGTCGTCGCCAACACGTCCCACATCGCGCTCATCCTCAGGTCTCCACTTGCGCACCCACTCAGCGGCCACCATTCATTGCCATTCATCAGATCGTCCAGCCGCAACGACAGCTCACCAACGACCCCCTCCCCTTCATCGTTGATCCTCACCACAATCACGCATTCGGCCAGACTGGGACAATAAAAGGCACACGTATCTTCCCATGCGGGATGTGTCCCGCGTATGCGACGTGTCGCATGTATGACGGCATCATCATATCCAAGGCTGACTTGCGCCACCGTGCTCAAGCGATCTGCGGTTGATCCGCGCGAGGCAAGCCGTCGTGCTTCTGAAATATGCAGAGTGACTATCCCAGGGACTGACGTCAACGTTAGTCCGGAACTCGTGTATCTCGGAGCGTGCATCCTCACCGTAGTCGGAATCTCTGCTGCGCCATCGATATGGACGCTCACAAAAGGATCGGGGGCACTTCCTAGTAACCTACTCCACGGAATTATGTGTGCGGATTGAATAGTTAGGCAAAGCACGCCGATAGCGCTCATATATTATGATCTGATATGAATCGTAGAAGTCAGTGTGGGGAGCGAAAGAGTGAGGTCTGCTATACACGATAAGAGAAGAAATGCCGCAGATAAGATAAGATCTTCTTTCACCATGATCCCAACGCCAGATCTCTCTCACTTGGCCGCAAAAGATTACGAGCATGTTTACGAACCCGCAGAAGATACGTTCCTCCTCCTCGATGCACTAGAAGAGGACGAAAAGGCACTCAAGAACCTGCGTCCCATCATATCACTCGAAATCGGGTCAGCTGCATCTGTCATTATCTCTAAAACTTTTCTCAAGATATCTCTGCAGTTCAGGATCGGGTTGTGTTTCCGCGTTCATCGGTAAAATCCTTGGGCCTTCTGTACGTGCGTTGCTTGACCTTCAACCCGCTTGTCCGCTTCGCATTAATACATTCCCAGTATACCTGTGTTCCGACATAAATCCATACGCATGCACATGCACACGCGCGACTGGGACTCAAAACAAGGTTAGTCGACTATCTCTGATCCTGGGGACTCAGGCAGTTAAATCTTCTTTACAGGTGGTGCTGGACGCCATAAACGCGAGCTTCGCGTCGCCACTAATGGCGCGACTCCAACGCGCTGTAGACATCATATTGTTCAACCCACCCTACGTCCCTACAATCCCAGAAGAGATGAATGACGCGCAAGATACACGCGGCATCTCAGGTTCTTGGGCAGGAGGCACGAATGGCATGAACGTGACCGACATATTTCTCGAACATGTCGAGGTATACTCAATTTATCCTGGTCTCCTGAAGCCTGTTTGTTGAAACACTGTCTATCTATGAACAAGAAACTGATGTCGGAGAGGGGCCGTTTCTACCTTGTTGCCGTCGCAGAGAACGATGTCCCCGGTATTCAAGAACGTATGTTGCGCTTGCATGGGCTGCGAAGCGATGTGAGTATTTTATCTTGAGATCTGCCATTCCACCTTCTGAGACACAATAGATCGTGTTAAGCCGTAGGGCGGGACGCGAGCACCTGTTTGTAATAAGGTTTCTTCGTCAAATCAAAGAGATTGATATTAACAACACTGCCCCTCGATGATAATGGCCACTTTGCCATCTCTGATAGCAACAATTAGGCAGTACAGAGCAATAGATTAACCGAGTCAATAGCGTATCGATTATATGGGGGCTACATACACTGCTGTTTACGCAGGTCATGTCATGTCTCCACTCGTCCTCCTTTCTATGAATCCCCGAATATTCGCGTGCCCCTCTATGCGACCGAAGAAACACCGTTTGTTTGCATTCTCCCATAGAACGACATCGAGTTCCTTTGCATAACCAAGTACCAATTCGTAGTCTGCCAGAGACGTGAATGATGTATAAAGGTAACCTATCATCAGAAGTTTGTCAGTCGGGTCATTTCCTGAACAACAATGGCGTCGGACCTTCTGAAGACTTGAGTCGGTTTCGTTCAAGCTCCCAAAGTCGAATCTGATCTTGGACAGTTACTGGTAGTAAAGGGTTCTGGGAAGGGTCATGAGCCTTTGGACTGCGTATTAACGAAACAACTGACATTTTTTCGCATCTGAGGATGGGCATGAGTTATGAGATAGCTGATGATCTATCCAACAAGTCATTGGCTGCGCATTCATGGAAGAGCCGAAGAAACGTACCTGGTCCGCTGTTATCCCATTATTAAGGGCCTTTTTCACACTATCACGGGT